TGTTTGTGTTTTGTGATTGATCATTATGGTGAAATTTAGTAATTTAAAATTACAATTAACTAAATTTATTTAATTATTATTTATATTTGAATCATTTCGTGCTTACAAAAAAAAATTAATTAGCACATTCGAACTGTTTAAATACCAATACCAATTATAATTTTATATTTTCAGCAGCAAATAGTTTTATATTTCCAATTTCCAGTTTTCAGCAACAAAAAAATTGGTAAGTAGTAAATTCATCGGGTATATAAAAACCTATTTAAAATAAATATTTTCAGTAGTATATAATTTTAATTCGAAAAATTAAGATCTTACAATTTAAATAACTTTTTTTAATTTATTAAAATAATTTCAATAATGAAATATCAATTACTACTACAATTAATTAAATATCTATTATACCCGAATATAAAAATTAATATATATATATATACAACACAATGTTATATTTAAATATTTAAAACTTTTATATGAAATTTATGTATATACATATATATATGTATATAACAAACGTAATTTGATTAATTTGATTAGTATATGTCTCCTCAATTAAATATTAAAGAGATAAGTTATTTCTAAAAGATTTGTTTCCTTTATACTTCTCATTCATGTATACTTCTCATTTATTTTATCACTATAAGTAAGCCACAAATCAGATTGTACGGCAATTCATTCTCACATCCTTCGAAAATTTTATTCTCTACGTTTTTTGTAGTAAAAAAAAAAAAAAAATAATTTTAATGGAGCATTTTGGATTGATCAAACAGCTCAACATTAATATGAGCGCCTATCTTAAGCTTAGGGCTATACGCATTTTCAATAGACCAACCCATACCCACGCATCACACCCATCTGATTGCGAAATTCTTTTCCACGATATGAAGGTATGATATTGTATTGAAATCAATTAGTATTTTAATTATTGTTTATTTTTTGGTTTGCTTATTAACAATGTTTATTTGTTTTTTAGGGTTCACGAATAAGTGGTATTGTTCGTAGTCTCCCTATATTCGCTGGGTTGATTGAGGAGGGTGGTGTATATGTTTTTACAAACTACCAATTAGAGTTAAACGTCGGTAAATATCGATCTTCTTATGCAAACTACAAAGTTATAATCCATGGAGAAACCGAGGTACTACATGTGGTATCTAATTTCCCTACATGGAACTTCGACTTCCATTGCTTTTCATTTCTTAAAAATGATGACATGGTCGACGAGTCAATGCTTTACGGTAAATCTTTAATTTCTTATTTATAGTGTACTCGATTTTTATTTTCCATTTTTTTTTTATTTTGTAATATAGTTATTTTTATAATATATTTTTAATTTTTTAATTAATATTTATATTAGATGTTATTGGGATGGTTGTCGAGGTTCGACCCATTCGTTCCGAATTGCATAATGGGGAAGAAAAGCCAATGATCAATTTTGCAATGATGAATTTGGAGTAAGAAAAAAATCTGAGATGAATTATATATAATTTAATAATGTTGTTTACCATTTTATATATTAATTTTTTTACCTAAATAGTGGATTAGAGATGCGTTGCGAAATTTGGGGTCACTATGTTTACGAGTTCATTGACTGTGAAGATTACTTCCAATCACTTGATGATGGAGAACCATGGGTTCTTATAATGCAGTTATGCAAGATTAAACAAAATACTGCAGGTATTTCTAAATTTTGTTTTATTTGTATTATAATTATAATTAAAATATGAATAAAATAATGTCATCATACATATACAAAATTTGGCAATTATATATATTATTTTGCAGCAAGTGAATATCAATTGAGTTCATATCTGGATGTCACAAGGCTTTTTGCTGCAAATATCCCAGAAATTATACAATTCCGGGAAAAGTGAGTAAATTTTATTAATTTTTGTTATGTTATATAAATTGTATATATTATTTGTAGATTTTCGTATAGTGAAATGTTATTCAAAATTACATTTAATTTTCAGATTTTCAAGAAGCAAATGGTACAAGCCAAACATGTACGTCACCAACAGCAGGATTTTGATGTAATAGAGAACCTTGGCTGTTTTTTTTCGAGTGGAGTTGTTTTTTTGAAATTCGATTAGTCTGCTTATGTTTGGTTAGTTTGCTTATGATGGGAATTGGATTAGTTTTTCGGAAATTGGATTACTCTATTTATACATTTGGATTAGTTTTTCCTAAATTGGATTAGTTTTTCTGAAATTGGATTAGTCTATTTATACATTTGGTTAGTTTGCTTATGTTTTTCAATTCATTCATGAAATCCAAGTAATATTTTTTCAACATTACAATTTTACATATACGATTTTATTGTAATAATTTAAATACATTATGGTTCGAATTACATTTCAATAAATGTTTACAAATATAATACAATATTGTACCAATATAATCTGGTTGATAAATAATAATTAAATATAATTATTAATAGTTTAGACAAAATCATTAGAAATAATTATTTATGGTTTAGAGATAACTATTAATAGTTGATTTATAAATATTAAATCTCTAGAGATAATTGATGATTTAAATTAACGAGATTAAGGAACATTTCTAATTAATGGGAGTGGTTCAATTTGACAAGATAAGCATTAATTGATAGAGATAATATTTAGAGATTATTATTGATGTTTTAGATATACTTAGCAACAGTTTAGTGATAATTATTAAATAAATAAGGCACGTTTCTTATCAATGGAAATTCAAATTGACACGATAAGGATTAATTAATTAAAAATAATTATTTATAGTTTAGAGATAATTATTAATGGAGTAGATAACTAAGGATTTAAATTAAAGAGATGAGCCACGTCTCCTTTTCATGAGAATTCTGTTTGACAAGATAAGCATTAATTATTTCAATTGTCTTGGTATTTAATGTTTTAGAGATAATTATTAAATATATAAGGCACGTTTCTTATGAAAGGTAATTCAATTTGACAAGATAAGTATTAATTAATAGAGATAATTAAATAGATAAGGCACGTTTCTTATCAATGGGAAATCAAATTGACAAGGTAAGGATTATTTAATTAAAAAATAATTATTAATAGTTTAGAGATAATTATTAATGGAGTAGAGATAAGCATTAATTATTTCAAATTGAGCCACGTTTCCTTTTGATGTGAATTCTGTTTGACAAGATAAGCATTAATTATTTCAATTGTGTTTAATTAATGGTTTAGAGATAAGTAATGAGAATAAATCACGTTACTTTTATTAAATATTTAATTAAAATATTGGTTAACAGATAAGCATTAATGGTAATATTTTAAATTAATATAATATTTACCAACTATGATACCTTGCATATAAATATTATGGAATGACATAACAAAACGTATTGCAAAAAAAATCTTACTCCCACTTTCACGTAAAGCATTGAAGACAATAAAATGACAAAGGCCTGGGGTAACATCAAGCAAGTGACAAGAACTAACAGGCCTATGATCAAGCTAAGGGTTGTTCGAGTCTTCCAACGGACAAATGATTACTCATCCTACAAGAATATCCTAGAGATTGTCTTTCATGACAATGAGGTATAATTTAAAATAAATTATTAAAAATGTCATATCATATTTCGCTATATCTTACAATGTTTTTTGTTTTTTTTTCAAGGGTGGTCGAATTACTGCAATAATAAGGGCAATAAACATCCCTACATTCATAAATAAATTTCAAGAAGGTGCTGTCTATGCACTCCGAAACTATCAAGTCGAGAGTAACATTGGAATGTACAGATCCACCATTGCCAAATACAGGCTGATCTTACATGGTAGAACTGAACATATAAGCTACAAGGGTGACTTTCCAATTTACCGTTTTGATTTTCGAAGGTTCATCACATTGGTTGATGTCGAGAAGATCGACGAATCAATCCTATTTGGTAATATCATTTTCACTTTTTTTACATATTTATTTTTTAGAATTTTTTTGATGAAAAATAATATTAATCTAAATAATTATTTAGATGTCATTGGAATGGTGGTCGAGATAAATCCCGTTCAACTGAAGAACGTCAAAGGAGTACAAACTCGAATGATAGCATTCTCACTAATGGATCCGGAGTATTTTTTATTTTTACCTATTTATTATTTTTCTTTTACAATTTTGTAATTTAAACATTAATACAATATTTTTGATAATATATTTTGGTTTAATTTAAAAATAGGGGAAACATTATGCCATGCACTCTATGGGGGCCATATGTTGACCA